CTGGGCCACTCAAGGACATTCAGAGACTTGTCCCGAAGCCACTCCTGCGTTGTCTTGGCTGTGTGCTTAGGTTCGTTGTCCTGTTGGAATGTGAACCTTCGCCCCAGTCCTGAGCGCTCTGGAGCAGGTTTTCATCAAGGATCTCTCTGTACATTGCTCTGTTCATCTTTCCCTCGATCCTGATTAGTCTCCCAGTCCCTGCCGCTGAAAAACAACCCCACAGCTTGATGCTGCCGCCGCCATGCTTCACCATAGGGATGGTGCCAGGTTTCCTTCAGATGTGACGCTTGGCATTCAGGCCAAAGAGTTCCATTTTGGTTTCATCAGACCAGAGAATCTTGTTTCTCATGGTCTGAGAGTCCTTTAGGTGCCTTTTGGCAAACTCCAAGCGGACAGTCATGTGCCTTTTACTGAGGAGTAGCTTCAGTCTGGCCACTCTACCATAGAAGCCTGATTGGTGGAGTGCTGCAGAGATGGTTGTCCTTCTGGAAGGTTCTCCCATCTCCACAGAGAAACTCTGGAGCTCTGTGAGAGTGACCATCGGGTTCTTGGTCACCTCCCTGACTTAGGCCCTTCTCCCCGATTGCTCAGTTTGGCCGGGCGGCCAGCTCTAGGAAGAGTCTTGGTGGTTCCAATCTTCTTCCATTTAAGAATGATGGAGGCCACTGTGTTCTTGGGGACCTTCAATGCTGCAGAACTTTTTTAGTACCCTTCCCCAGATCTGTGCCTCGACACAATCCTGTCTCGTAGCTCTGCAGACAATTCCTTCGACCTCATGGCTTTGTTTTTGCTCTGACATGCACTGTCAACTGTGGGACCTTATATAGACAGCTGTGTGCCTTTCCAAATCATGTTCAATCAATTGAATTTACCACAGGTGGACTCCAATCAAATTGTAGAAACATCTCAGGGATGATCAATGGAAACAGGATGCACCTGAGCTCAACTTCGAGTCTCATAGCATAGGGTCTGAATACTTATGTAAATAAGGTATTTCTGTTTTTTATTTTTAATAAAATAAGCAAAACATTCTAAAAACCTGTTTTCTCTTCGTCATTATGGGGTATTGTGTGTAGATTGATAAGGAAAAATATTTAATCCATTTTAGAATAAGGCTGTAACGTAACAAAATGTAGAAACAGGGAAGGGGTCTGAATACTTTCCGAATGCACTGTATAAACATATTTCCTCCTTATTCTAGATTCATCTGACCTCCCACCCACAGGTCATGAGTAGGAAGCATTGGTACCACACAGGGGTGAAAAACCGAAAGTCATATCACTGTCTATTACTATTTTAGTCTCTATCAATACAAGCACTGCAGAAGTCTAGTACTCTCTCATCTCAGGCGAGCCTCTGTTTTGCATAGTCTGACCTATTCTAATTCCACCATCACCTTAAAGCTATTTTCACTGCCTCAGTGAGCCTAACCAAGGCATCACATTCTGGTTTACCTGTGGTAGATGGACTAAATTCAGTCTTAAACCTATACAGTATGCTCCACCATGTCAGTCTCAGGAATGGGGAAGCAATACTCACTCTAGCTGAACACTTCCCTTTTCCTGCTCATTGGAAGTGTGTCTCTTTGTAGAAGCAGGCCCCTGTGGCTCTGTGGTCATGTGTAGGCCCCTTGGATTGACACTGGGGAAGGATGTAGCTCACTCATCCAGACGGTATAGTGCGGTTTTCACATCCCTATTCACACACACACTCACACACGCCCACATACGCATGAACACACACACACAGATGTCAAGGGGTTATAATGAAGGGGACTGTAAGGTTTGGTGTGAGGTGTGACCCAGGTGCGGTGCAGGATAGACAGTAGGCAGCAGGCAGAGATGGTGAAACAAGAATCTTTACTGGTGGTCGCAAAACCAGGATACAAAATAATGGACTTGTCGCAAAAAAATAAAGGAGGAGCAAATTGATCTCCAAAAACTGGCTGACAGCAAACATACGAAATACTAACTATGACTGAAAAAAAAAATGAAACAGGGAGAACACTTCTCAAGTACCTGCACATACGTCTTGCGATCAGACACTGATTAGTACTGTTTGGCATTGAGAACTAGCAGAGAAAACAGAGCAAGGGAACACAGGGAAGTGAGGGCATAAATACACAGGTGAACAGGTAGACACAGGTGACACCAATAATCGAATGATTAGTCCAGACTGTGAGTGAGGAGGTGCCTAAGGTTGTCGGAGGATGACACCTAGTGGGTCGCTCCGGAACTGCGAACCCTCCTGTAACAGGGGACCTGTTGCTGTGTTGCACAGGTCTTTGGTGGAGAAAGGAGAAGTGTGGATAGAGGTTTACTCAAGTGTGTGTTAGAGTCAAAGGATTATTTCAGAAATGTTTAGGAAAATCTCTTAGTTGAAATTGTCCTCTTGCTTTAGCTTGTGATTAGCATTTGTCATACCAGGAAGTCAGTCTATTGCCACAAAGAAATGCATGACAAATGCATGAATACCGGTAAGACAGTTTGGGCACTGGATTGGGGCCACTCTTTCAGTTTACCAGTTCCAGTATATCTAAATTATTCAGCATTTTGCAGCACTGAGTGGAGTATTGTTGAGCAGACAATTAAGAGAGAAAGTTCTGATTAGAGATCCCCCAATGCTCCTGTATTATCCAGAACGCTGCAGCCCGTCTGGTGTTCGACCTTCCCAAGTTCTCTCATGTCACCCCACTCCTCCGCACACTCCACTGGCTTCCAGTCGAGGCTTGCATCTACTACAAGACCATGGTGCTTGCCTACGGAGCTGTGAGGGGAACGGCACCTCCTTACCTTCAGGCTCTGATCAGACCCTACACCCAAACGAGGGCACTGCGTTCATCCACCTCTGACCTACCTCTACGGAAGCACAGTTCCCGCTCAGCCCAGTCAAAGCTATTTGCTGCTCTGACACCCCAATGGTGGAACAAGCTCCCCCACGACGCCAGGACAGCGGAGTCACTGACCACCTTCCGGAGACACTTGAAACCCTACCTCTTTAAGGAATACCTGGAATAGTATCAAAGTAATCATTCTACCAGGTACAGGTTTGACCAGTTCTGACCTGCCAATCATAATAGACCAACACAACTAACTGTAGGTTATAGTTTCTGATATTGTTTCGATATAGGCCTACTGCACTATGGAAACAAATATGAAGCACAGCTGATGTAAACACCCCATCCCTATTCCCTGTCATCACCTAATAAATCGATCCCATAGTAGCCTATTGGGTTCTTGTGGGTGCATTATTTTAACTCAGAGACAATATAATAATCAAAAGCATAATAGGCAAGTGGCCTATACAAATACGGTTCCTTTGAGAAACCATAGCCCCAATCTTGAACTTTATCCACTGCTGCTCTCTACTGACTGAAAGTCTAGGGAAATATAATAGGATTGTACTGCGTGGTTGTTTATTTTCATCGCCAGAGGTCACTACGTGTTCATTTTTATTCATTCGCGAAAGCGACTTGACAAGATATTCGAGATGTCTCGTTGAAAGTACTATGAGTTAACAACACATGACACAGAGAACCGGAGAAACTATAGATTTCAATTTGAGACTATTTGTTGAAAAAATCTCAGTGCATAAACTTTTTTTGTAAGAGCAGGAAATGTTGCGAGTTATCAGCGCGCTAAAGTACAAAATGTTGCATTCCATGAACATATGAAAGCATGAGAAATAATCCACTTGAATCCAATTCTGCATATTGTCCTATTTACACTTTCTGTGGAGGATTAGGCTTGTGCAGCCATTTGACCATAAATAACACAAGGACTGTTACTGCAACGTGCTGTCCAATCGAATGTGGTGCTGAAAAAGACAATCCATCAACCACGTTGAAACTCGCCTATAACGAGAACACAAAGTTCAGTGTGGTACCTGAAGTTGTATATGTATTAATACTTCCAATGTGCGTAATAACTGAATCATTGAATAGGCTTATTTAGGCTATAACATATTATCCTAAACACTAAAATCCATGTTTGCGAACACACTTTTTACGTATGACATTTGGGGCTTGCATTTGAGTTTTGGAATGGCACAGAATCCAACAGAACATCAGCTGCCAATATAGCCAGGCAGTAGATGCTTGGATCTCTATGCAGACAATATGCACCTGTAGAGCACTAGTTTTAGGGGGTCATTACGCACGGCAGCGATATGCCCTTTGCAGACATACCCACACGTCATAAACATTATGTTTACAATAAATTAATCGTGTTTCTATGCTAGTTCTATAATGGCCAATTATTCTATACAGAGACACGCTTGCCATTTATTTTCCTCTCTAAGGCTGTAACCTGGATACCGGAGAGAGCGTCCTTGGTATTTGGGATTTTAAAGAGTGAGAGGAGAAGGGTGGAGTGGGGGAAGACTGATAATTTGAAGACTTGCCAGGGGTATATTGTCAAATTCAAAAGGCATTTCAAAGAACCAAACCATTCCCTTTTCTTCATTCTCTCCTATTTAATTTTTATTTATTTATCTCTATTTCTTTATTTTCTCCGGGTTGCAGGCCGTTTGAATCCACCAATGGGCTTTCAAGTTGGAGACATTGGAATGTAAATGAGCCCAGCGCGTGCTCCTGGCGCAGTGAAAGCTCTGGATTGTTTATTGAGCTCCCGGAGCCACGCGCCTGGCTTGCGGAGTCGGCTAGCAGATGAATCACACAGCGGCGGGCGGGGCCTCGCGGGGAAGCGTGCGTCTCCAAAGGGTGGGGTGTGTGGGGCGCGTGTTGAAAAAGAGGAGTGCTGCCAAAGTTTGGGTCAGATCGGCTCTTGAAGTAAGCAAGCGCAGTCAAGAAAGACTTGGACACCAAATAGCCACAGCGCGCTCCAGCTATAGTCACACGGCTCCCACGCGAAGGACACGAGAGCAGTGCACTGCCAACCTCTGTCTATTTTTGTAATCTCTTCTTCCACTGAGTGTCTGTCTGTGAGGCTGCGCTGTTGCAACCCACATCTGTCAGTAGCCCTGTCTCACCACCGACCAACATGGAGACTACCACCATCACCACCACGCAAATGGCGCAGAACGCATACACATTTGGACTGATGGAGAGGCGCACCACCATTACCCTGCACGCCCCAGCCCAGGAGTGCGCTCTCCCTAACGACACAACTGCAGCCGGCTACCAAAGCAAGACCACGGTGCTGAAAAGACAGCGCTCCAGCTCCCCGGAGCTCCTGCGCTGCAAGCGGCGGCTCAGCTTTAACGGACTCGGCTACTCCATCCCCCAGCAACTGCCCGTGGCCGTGGCCCGGCGGAACGAGCGCGAGAGGAACCGGGTCAAACAAGTCAACATGGGGTTCCAGACCCTGCGTCAGCACGTGCCCAACGGGGCAGCCAACAAGAAGATGAGCAAAGTGGAGACGCTGCGGTCCGCCGTGGAATATATCCGAGCCCTGCAGCAGCTACTAGACGAGCATGATGCCGTGTCTGCCGCCTTCCAGTGCGGGGTGCCTTCCCCTACCATCTCCAACAGCTACTCGGCGGAGCCGGAGTCACCCCACTCCACCTGTTCCTCCGATGAGGGGAGCTATGAGCCCCTGAGCTCCGAGGAGCAGGAGCTGCTGGACTTTACCACCTGGTTCGACAGATACTGAGACACACGCAGGTAGCCTAATTGTCGTTACCATCCAACAGCACCCATGTATAGACAGGGGCTTATTCAATCAAAAGAGACTCAAAGTTGAAAAGAATGACAAGTTATTCGATTCACTCTGCAGGCGAGACACCCGTGAACACACTCTTGGCACCGACTTTCTCTCTCTCTCCGCTCGCCAGGCAGCGTTTGCAGGTACAAAGCAATGAGAGAGGAAAGTAACTCAGAGTTACCGTTGCTATGCTACAATAGAGAAGGGAGTCGAACGGCGCTTGGGTTCCCCTTGGAACAACAGGGTAGAGAGACTGTTCGCGCACGCATGGACAAAGCGTCGAAGGACGAATGACTTCACTTGGGTGATGCGTGGAATTATGTCTTTATCGATGAGTTTGAATACGGGCAATTAGTGAATGAAACAGCAGCTGTGGGGACTGCACAGTAGCCCAGTAGAAGTGCACGGTTGTGGCTCCCAAGGACTTTGCTGTCGATAGCAGTTTCACATGAGAGCAAGACTCCTTATTTTAACTGCCTGCATCTGCTGGGAAGATTTTATCGAAGATTAAGCGCAATCTAAAATGAACTTTGGTGCACATTGTCTGAAATTGAAATTCTTAGTTGTTCAATAGCCTATAAATACTTATTTTTGTTAATTGAGATAAACAAAACAAAAGTTCTGCAATAATGAACACTGCCACTTTGCTGACCGTGAGAGCGCATGAGATAGCCATGACCGGACCACTGGATAGTTAAATTGGCAAGTATGTCTGTGTCAAGCCATTGGTCAGCAATAGACCTCTACAGCTTCCCGTGAAAGGTTGAAGGGGTTTACGTGGGATGGAGACCTTTATCAATGTATGCACTTGCTCTCCGTTTTTCGTAGACTCCTATGACTCCGACTTTAACAGATATATTTTGTGTAAACATTTTTTTATGAATAAAGATAACTCTATTTATATAAAATTGTGTGGTGTTGTTGCATTATTGTGTGGACACAGTTAAATCAGCTTTCTCAAATAGTAGGTAGCTTAGGCATGACAGGCATGCTCACAAATAATAGGCTATTTTATTGGATTATTATGTAGACACACCTGACTCATAGGCTATTTCAAATCAAATCAAATTTGACTTCTTCTGTGGTTCTATTCAAAGGCCTAGTCTGACATTTTACCGAGTTGTTCTGGCACACAAGGGAGAACTGCACAGCTGTGTGAGCGCTCAATAACCATTTAAAGACGTGCACCTTGCCTTGCGCTTTGTCTGCATAGAGAACCGGGAAATTAATATTACGTTTCATGCACTGCATTGTTTCTTTTTCATGCTCTCTCTCTTCGCCCAACCCAGAGGGCCTGGAGCGGATTGGGTGGGAGGGAGGGAGAGTGTATAGCCTACTATACACTTTCCTCAAAGGGGTAGGCCTATAATCACTTTGAAATATGGCTCAGGGAAAGTCAGGAAGACAATGCAGCGGGTCAACCATTCTTATTGGCCGATTGCGATCAATCTAAATAAAACCTGGGGTTGTAGACTACTTGTATATCCGACTGTGTTTTTCAGGGCGCACACAACCCAATCAAAACCGCAATCTCCTGCTAAATGGGGAGCACAACACCCCATTGCGCCTCATTATCCTTACACTCTTAGAAAAAAAGGGTTATTTGGGGTTCTATATAGAACCTTTTGGTTCTTTGGACGAAATGTTCTATACACAGTAGGCTATATAGCCTACCCAGTGAAGGCAAATAACCTTGAGGGTTCTATCCCTAGGCTACCCCAGAGTGTAGCTTAATGGGGATTTTAGAAATCAACAGCTAACAAAAGCTAACCCAGTCACATCAAACTCTGAAATAACAGCTAACATTCCCTTTTAATTTGTTATAGCTTCTTTCCATTGACATTTATATCCATTGTAAAAACGGCCAGCTCATCTCCTTTCCAATACCCCAACTTTCTTTTAGTTTTGTTATTGAAAAAGCGTCACGCCAATCATCTTAATTGTATTCGCCAATCAGCAGCCTTTCCCCCCAGGACCTACGGTAATACCCGACCAGACAGGGCCTCAGGCAGTCTGTAGTTTACATTCTGATGACAACTGGGTTTTTCTCTCCTGCTTATTCTACCTCCTTAGAAAAAAAGATTTTCTTTCTGATGTTTTATTGTGCGTGCAGCTAAATGTAAGTGCCAAAATCCTGATGTCTTGTTGGTTGGAGCTAAATACTGTCTGTAAATATTGTAGCGACCCGCACAGACAGCTGTGTGTTATGTGTTAGGCTAGTAGATGGTTGTGTTGTACCTACCAGTACCCAGTGTTCGCGGGGTCCGACATGTCAATCAACCTGCTATCTGCCAATCACGGGAATGCCTGGAATGTTCTGATGCCGGGCATCCTGGCGGTTGGCGGAGTGGCGTGGAGGGGGGTTGGGCAGGGGGATGGAGCATTGGAAGTTAAGACCAGGTTTAGCCTTTGTTCTCTCTCTTTACATCTGGGCTTCACAAGAGAAGGTCACGATTGGCTTGTGGGTTATCTTTCATTTATTTGGCGTGGGCTACGGCCAAACAGTAGCCTGTGTAAAGTTGGTTTAATAAACCGTCCATTCGTAAACTCAATCCTCTGTCTGGACAGTTGTTCTTTTATGATCTAGTCAGGTCATTACATTGGTGTCAGAAGTAAAAACGTTGATAAAAGTTAGCCAGCTAGCTAGCTGACTTCTGTGGCTAGCTACCGTAGGTGAGAACGGGGGTTGAAGATGCTTCGAGGGAATCCGAAAGTGAAGGTGGAGGTAGGGGACGATTATGGCCAAGGAGGTGCGTGTGCATGGACGTCGGGGGTTCTGGCTGAGGAGATCGCCAGGGCATCGGAGCCCAGAGGCCGCTTGAGGGAGGACGTTAGAGTGATGGCGGCTGAAGCGGGCATGAGTGCTTCGTCGACTGTGTTTCGCGCGGATTCTGGTGGGCGGACCGAAGGGGTGACGTCGACGCGGCGGGACGAGGAATCTGGGGCTCAGGATGTAAACAAACATGGCGGCGCCCAGTTCCCGGCTGCGTCCGTATCCGTTAAGACCCCGAAGTATTCCGGTAAGGCGGATTGGGAAGCTTTTCATGCTCAGTTTGAACTGTTAGCTCATTTTAGGGGGTGGTCGGATGAAGATAGGGCACTGCAGTTGGCTTTATGCCTCACGGATGAAGCTCTGGCCTGTTTGATATTGATTAGCCCCGAGGACAGACGTGATTATGGTGCTTTAGTGGGAGCACTGAGGAGGCGCTATGGACAGTGTGTACAGCCCGGGCTACTGCGCTCCGAACTGAGTAATAGACGCAGGCAGCCTGGAGAGCCTCTACGGGTGCTAGCTAATGACATTGAGAGCCTCTCTCGGCGGGCATATGCTCACATGCCCCCCTCCGTGCAGAGCGAGCTAGCACGGGACCAGTTCATACAGGCGCTCTCTCCTACGGAGCTGCGCATACAGACCCAGCTGGCTCATCCTGAGTCATTGCAGGTAGCCTTGGAGATGGCTTTGGAGAGGGAGCTGGTGTGGGCTGGGGCTTCAGCTGGGGCTTTGGTGGGGGTGCAGGGAGACAGACCCTCTGTGCGAGCTGGGGGGCAGAGCAGCCCGGAGCCGGAAAAGCCTGCATGGGTGGCTGAAATGACAGAACTCATTCGTGCTGTGTCGCTACAGGCGGCACGAAACACACGCCCTGGTCCCAGGGTCTGCTGGGGTTGTGGCCAGCCAGGCCATCTGCGCCGAGATTGCCCCATGTCCCCCAGAGCTCAGGGAAACGGCTCGGGGTCCGCATAGACCGGGTAGTGCGGACCCCTGGCTTTCTATCCCAACCACCATCTTCTTCAGGAGGAGCCCACCGGCACAGACGGGGAAGCAAGGCTCCACTTCCCCCAGAAGCAGACGAGGGCAAGCGGATGGAGCCTGTTGTTGTGGTGGGCCGGACCTGTGTTGGGGACTTTTGTCATGTCCCTGTCACTGTGGAGGGGGTGCCCTGCTCCGCCCTGGTGGACACTGGGTCCACAGTAACCCTGGTGAGGCCAGATATTGTGCCAGGCTGGACTCAGTGTGAGCCTACAACTGTGCAGCTCCGCACAGTCACAGGTGAGCTGGCACCCATGAAAGGGAAGGGAATAATGACTCTGACAGTAGGGGGCAGGACTGTGCGTCATCCTGTGTGGGTGGCGGCTGTGCAGGACCCTTGTATCCTGGGGTTGGACTTTCTTAGGAGCACAGGCTGCCAGTTAGACCTAAATAGGGGCACACTGAGCTTCCAGGGAGGGCCGGAGGTGACCATGGCCCCTAATGTCACATTCACTCAACCCAACAAACCCTTTACTCCAACAGTTAAAGCAGCAGAGACTCATGGCTGCCCCCCCTCCCCCACATCTGGGTGTGACTTTTCCCCAGCTCCCCTGTCACCTACGGCGTTGTGTTACATTCCCCCAGCTACCTCCACGACACAGCCCTCTGTGAGCCTGGGCCGCGCCCCCCCAGCCCAGCTACCCCAGATGGGAGGGGAGAGAACACTGTCTGCAGTGAGGGAGATATGGGGGAGGAACTGTGTTGGTCTTGACCCCGAGCAGCAGGAACGGTTGAGGCAGTTGCTGTTTGAATTCAGAGACAGCTTTGCGCTGAGTGAGGAAGAGGTGGGTCAGACTCATCTGGTGCAGCATGAGATCGACACAGGTGATGCTCGACCTATCAAGATGCGTCCCCGCCGTATCCCGCTGGCACGCCAGGAGGCGGCAGACAAGGCTGTGTTGGAGATGCAGCGGGCAGACTTCATTGAGCCCTCAGACAGCCCCTGGGCGGCGCCAGTCGTCATGGTTCCGAAGAAGGGGGGCAAGCTGAGGTTCTGTGCGGACTACAGGCGGCTGAATGAGGTAACCAGGAAGGACTCATACCCCATACCACGTATCGATGAGTCGCTGGACCTGGTTAGGGGGTCCTCCTGGTTCTCCTCACTAGACCTCCGCAGTGGCTACTGGCAGGTGCCCCTCTC